AAACGGGGGCCACTCCTCCCCCTCGTCGTCCTGCTCCTTCTGTTCGTCGCGGCACTCTACCTCCTCCCGATAGGAGGGCGGAACATGAGGGGGCCACCTCTCCCCCTCGTCGTTCTGCTCCTCGTTCCCGGAAGGAGGAGGAGGAGGAGGAGGAGGAAGGAATTTCGAGCGCAAGTACAAACATACCTGCGAATTCTCCCGCCGGCCAGGCATCACACGCGCCAGCCCTCCCGCGCCCACCGCCCAACCACGGCGCGAGGAAGGAGGGCTACCCGTGACAGTGCCCCAGAGCCCGCCTGGCCCAGGAGAGCCAGAGCGGACCGCAGCAAGGCCCGAGCTTTACTGCAAGTTGTCGCCGCCACCGAGCTTCTCGCAAGCCACCAAAGTTTCAGGTTTCAGTGCCATGTCGTGGAGCCAGCGAGGACAGCGCGACAGAAGCAGACAGCCGTCGAGACCCCGCAGCGAATGGCAAAGCAGACAGCATTCCCCAGTCAAGTGTTTGTGGGAATGCCCAGCGTGCAGTCAGGTGAACAAGTGGGAGGCCAAGCAGTGTGTCAAGTGCCACCCGACCTCCCAGTCCAGAGTCAGAGCAGTTCTAGTGACAGAAGCAGCTACAAGCAAAGAGCCCCGCCGTGGCAGAAGCAGCACAGCAAGGGTAGAGCACGGTCAGTGATCGACGAGGATGAAGACATCATGAATATTTCGCCGTGCTCTCCCGAACAACCAGTCGCACATCCAAGGTGGCAGGACCCGCCAGAGGGCCCGCAGGAGCTTGGCGACTTTCGCAAAGCCCTGGGTGCGACGCGTGAGGGACTCGAACGCCAAATCCAGTGCTAGCAGGAGCTCAAGTTGGACAACCATCAAGTCGAAGAGCTGCGACGCGAATACAATGTAGTTTTGTATCAGCTCATGATCTCGAGGACGACCTCAGCCCGCACGGCCAAACAACTCAGCTTCGTCAACCGTGCTGAGCGGCATCTGGCGGAAGCGCAGAACCAGCAGAACGAAGCAGAGAGATACCTCGAGACGTGCCGTAGCCAAGTGGAGATCCTACACGAGGAGCTCGCAGATGCAGAAGCCCTGCTGGAGCACTTCCAGGACTTAGAGGAGACAGAGAAGGAGGAGCGCAAGACGGCCGACAAGCGTACCAAGCGTACGCACGGACGGCACCCAAAAACCTCAGACTGCATGGATGAGGATCATGAAGTTGATGAGCCTGAGGATGAAGCACCACTCGCTGCAAGTGGTGCTCTCAGGCCGCATTGGGCCTGGCCCACGGCACAAGGCAAGCCCGAGAGCAGCACCAACATGTCGAAGCCAGAGCCCCGGCAGCCTCCCCGTGCACCGCCTGGAGCTACACCATCCACGGGCTCAGCGGGTACGGGAGCAGAACTCACCACGCCAGGGTTGCTCGCGTCCGTGCAGCATGCGCAGTCCCAACTTCTCGCCCAAATCCTGGACTTCAAGAACACTATGACGGAAATTCAGAAGCAGATCTCGGAGGTGAACCAGTCCCGACAGGAGGACAAGAACCAGTTGCAGCAGCAGATGTTGGAGATCAAGACGAAGCCAGACACGCCACAGCCATCCCCGACGGAGGTCAGAACAGCAGGCCGCCACCGCATGGAAGCGGCCTTCGCACATGGAGCAGCAGTGACACCACGACCAGCACGCTCGGTATCGCCGCGGCGTCAGACGGGACAGGCTCCACCCAAGACGACCAAGATCAGCATGAACAAGGCGGTGGACTCGCGACATGAGCGCCCTGACGAAGAAGCAGTCAACCTAGCAGCAGGTGACACAGACGAAGAGGAGCTACATGGAGTTGCCAAAGGAGGGGAAGGCTGCTCTCTCTGGGTCAACACGGCAATGGGGTATGCCCCAGGGTGCAGTATCACAGCCTCGCAGTGCTACGTTACGCATGCCGCCCCACGCATTATTTTGGTTGCTATCAGTGCTCCTGCTCTCAGCCTCTGTGTCTGCGTGGCGCACGCTCCGTATTCCAGAAGGCCGCCACAAGAGATCCGACAGTGGTGGCAGGACCGTGCCAACTTGTGCAAGGAGCAAAGAGGAAAGGCAGAGCACCTCATTACCCTGATTGATGCGAACGCTGCGCTTGGCTCAGTTGTTGATGACACCAGGAGAGGCATCCATGCGGAGACGGGAAATCTACCAGGTGTATGTTTCAGGCAGTACTTACAACATACACAACAATGGGCGCCCTCCACCTTCTACGATGACCCCTCGGGACATGCGGGTACGTGGATGGCCCCTGGGGCCATAAGGCATGCCAAACGCAGGGACTACGTGGTACTCTCGAGGGCCCTGCAAGTCCCCCAACAAGGTGTTGACAGGCAGACCGACCACACGGCGACACAGCCCGACCATGCGGTTGTGGCTGCTTTGGCTGTGTTCCCTACCTCCAACTACTTGCCGGAGGCTCCCAGGCGCTACAAGGTCCCCAATGACCCAGAGCTCTACGCGGATCCCACGTCTGCCCAACTATTCCAGAAACTGCTGACGCAGTTCCGACAACCCGACTTCGACTTGCACGCCACGGATCACACGTGGCAGTGCGACCAGGACATCAGGGAAGCCATCGAGACTGCTTCCCCTGTACGCGCCATCCCCACAGGCCGTCTACCGAGACAAGGCTGGATCAGGTACTATACGCCTGCATTGCAGGAGGCAAGGTCTCTTCTGTTGCGCCTCCAAAGGCGCCGCATTGACAAGGTACGCAGGGCTTTTTTGCACCTTCTCTCTGCAGCATGGCAATGGCTAACAGCAGCGCCTGTAAGGTTCAACTTGGCAACATTTGACTACAGGCTGCGGGCGAATGCCAACTTCCCAATGCTTCCACGACTGCAACGTCGTGCGGCCGCCTGAGTTCCGACAGCTAGCATTCTACCACAGGCCACTGCGGCTCTGCTAAGGAAGCAAGCCGACGTCCGACACCGGAGAGGTAAAAGGCACAAGCTGGGACCCTACAGGATGCTCTCCCACCTCGGCCACTTGGAGCTTAATGCCATCATCACTCTCCCCCCAAGGATCTCCTGAAGGTCCCCCGACCGCGCCCGACGTCCCCACCCTCCTGGACCCTCTCTGTGGGTTTCTTAGGGACCCACCCCCACCCTCTTCTCTGTGGTTCTCTAGGGGCCCCCCACCCTGCAAAAACTGGCGCCGGCCTCCCCACCGCGCCCCCCCGACCGCGCACGACGTCCCCACCCTCCTGGACCCTCTCTGTGGGTTTCTTAGGGACCCACCCCCACCCTCTTCTCTGTGGTTCTCTACGGGCCCCCCACCCTGCAAAAACTGGCGCCGGCCTCCCCACCGCGCCCCCCCGACTTTCGATGCTGCGCACCACTTCGACAAACTCCCAGGGAGCGGCTGGTGATGCGCCGCTGGCGTCCTCGATATGCCGACATCAGCGACTGTGACATACAGGCGGATGAAGAGGACCCAGACACGGTGCAGGGTTTCCTCGACTTTTACGTCAGGGAGGTGGATGATGAATTCACGGAAGCTGCCGACTTCGCACAGGGAAAGAAAAAAGGCATGACGTGTGACCCAGAGATGCATCGGTTCATTGATCCTGATCCCACTTCGACGCCATCTCCCACCCATGAAGGAAGGCCCAACCCAGCTGGTGATCCGACTCCAGCTAATGAGGGCCCTCCTCCCCCCGTCTCACTGGACCTGGGGGAAGAACACAAGGCCGAAGCTTTTCTTTGCTCCCCCTCTCCAGCTCCTCCGCCGCCGCCGCCTCCCCCTACCCGCCCCTCGCTCACCCGTGCGCAGCTCGAGCGCATCGCCGCCCAAAGGGAGGAAGCCAGACGACGCCGAGAGCCTCGTCAACAGGCGGCCCGCGACGAGGACACGAGGCGGAGGGCCCCGTGGAGGGGCAAGGTCTCCTGCGCTCAGGCCTTCCAGCCCTCCCCTCCCAATTTCTTCTCCTAAGCCTCCCTGGGTAAAGACACTGGGGTAGGGAGGCCAGTAATCAGACCACGGCACCTCGCCCATGGTATCGTCCCATCACTCCTCCCTGGTCCAATCGAAGGACACAAATAAGCAAGGGCGCCTAACTTCGCGCTTCGCGCTTCGCGAAGCGCAAATGATTTCGCGCTCTCGCGCCGCACCCCAGGAGAGAGGAG